CAGCAGCAGCAGCAGCAGCAGCAGCAGCAGCAGCAGCAGCAGCAGCAGCAGCAGCAGCAGACCCTGCAATGACGGGTTGAATGCGGAGTTCGTTGACGAGGGTTTGCAGCCAACGAGGTCTGGGGTTTGTGGGGTTTGGTTTCCAGTGTACGTACACCCCGAGGGGCTGGCCGCTGGCGGCTTTGCTGAGGAAAGCCGCCAGCCGCGAACGGCCCTGCCTCCGCTCGCTGCTGCTGCTGCTGCTGCTGCTGCTGCTGCTGCTGCTGCTGCTGTCGAAGAGGCGGCCGGAGACCCGGAGGGGACGATCCCCGATCCCGATCCCCAACTCCGCAGCTGGGATCGTCGCCTCCCCGATCTCCTCCCCATCTGCTGCGTCTCTGAGAGACACAGAAAGGTCTCCTAGCTTCACTCGCAGTTCTGCTGCTGCTGCTGCTGCTGCTGCTGCTGCTGCAGCAGGGGGGGCCCCCAGCAGCAGGTCCACCGTGAAGGCCAAACTGTCCCCTGCCCCGGGGGGGGCCCCCCCCGTCTCCACAGGGTCAAAAGATAGTACCCTAAGGGCCCCCGAGAGGGCCCCCAGGGCCCCCCCGAGGCCCCCGAAGGAGACAGTTTGCTGCAGCTGGAGGCCCCGCAGCTGCAGCAGCCCCAGCGGCGACTGCAGCAGCAAAGACACAGTCCCCTGCAGCCCCACAACTGTCTGCTGCTGCTGCTGCTGCTGCTGCTGCTGCAGCGCCCGCAGCGCGAAAGCCACAAATGCTGCTTCGTCTTCCACCTGCAGCAGCAGCTGCAGCTGCAGCAGCAGCGACAGCAAACCCCCCGACTCCCGCAGCTCCGCAGGAGCAGCAAAACGCACCATTTCTCCCGCTGCTGCTGCTGCTGCTGCTGCTGCACCTGCTGCTGCACCTGCTGCTGCTGCACCTGCTGCTGCTGCGTCTCCTGCGTCTCCTGCGTCTGCTGCTGCTGCGCCCGCGTCTGCTGCTGCTGCTGCGTCTCCACCTGCTGCTGCTGCTGCTGCTGCTGCTGCTGCAGTGCGGGCAGTGCCGAGGCGGGCGCCAGTTGTGGGGTCCGTGAGGTGTACGTACACCGCAAGGCCCTCGACAGCCAGCGGCACTCCGGGCCCGAAGAAGGGCTGCAGCAGCAAAGAGACAGCAGCAGCAACTTTGATGGAGTCCGAGGAGACAGTTGCTGCTGCCAAGTCGATCTCTGTGTCTCCAACTGCCACCTGCTGCAGCAGCTGCTGCGGCAGCAGCTGCTGCACCGAAAAGGGGGCCCTAAACTGTACCCCCTCGAAGGCCCGCTGCAGCCACAGGGGGGCCCCCGAGTGGGGCCCCACAGAGGCCTCCACCTGCACCTCGGGCCTTTCCTCCTGCTGCTGCTGCTGCTGCTGCTGCTGCTGCTGCTGCTGCTGCTGCTGCTGCTGCTCCTGTTGCTGCTCCTGTTGCTGCTGCTGCTGCTGCTGCTCCTGTTGCTGCTGCTGCTGCTGCTGCTCCTGTTGCTGCTCCTGTTGCTGCTGCTGCTGCTGCTGCTGCTGCTGCTGCTGCTGACCTGCTGCTGCTGCTGCGTCGCCGAGGACGAAGCCGCGCATTGCTGCTGCTGCGAGGCTGCTGAGGTCGGCGAGTCCCTGCTGCGTCTGCTGCTGCAGCAAACGGCCGCGGAAAGCAGCAGCAGTTCGTGTGGGGTGGGGCTGCAGCAAAAAGGGCTCTGTCTGCAGCAGCGCGATCGTGCTGCTGCTGTAAAAGACCCGCAGCAGCAAAGGAGGCAGCAAAATGCTCACTGGAACTGGAGACACAAAAGAAGCTTCTCCTTCCAAGTCGAGGCCCCCCAAAGGAGACACTCCGAGCACCCGCAGCGTCCCCAGTTGGGGGTCCAGCCCCCGCGGCGCTGCTGCTGCTGCTGCTGCTGCTGCTGCTGCTGCTGCTGTTCCTGCTGCAGCAGCAGGCCCCAAGGAGACGGACTGCTCCACCTCCACTCCCTCTATGAGGATCTCCGCGAGGCCCCCCAAGTCCAGCAGCACGGAAGAATGACCTGACACCAGCAGCTCGGGGGGCCCCCCGGGGCCCCCGGGGCCCCCGGGGGCCCCCGGGGGCCCCCCGGGGGCCCCCGGGGGGCCCCCCGGGGCTAAAGTACCCTCTATGGAGGCCCTCACCCACTCGCTGAGGGGCCTCCCCTCTTCTTCGAGTTCCACTTTTGCTTCGACATTCATTTCGACAAGAAGTCGAGTTAGTCCGTCGGAAGAAGCTTCCACAGTGGTTGTTGCTGCTGCTGCTGCTGCTGCTGCTGCTGCTGCTGCGGGCGCTGCAGCAGCAGCAGCAGCAGCAGCAGCAACAGGGGCGGAGACCACGCGGCCCAGCAAACGGCCCTCCGGAGTCCGCAGCTGCAGCACGAAAGAGGCCCCCAAGACCCGCAGCGGGGTGTGGGGCCCCAGGGGAGAAGCAGCAGCAACAGCAGCAGCAGCAGCAACAGCAAAGGAGTCCTGGGGGCCCCCCGGGTCGAGGTGTACAGACACCCGGGACACCCGCAGCTGCTGCAGCAACCCCACACGCCCCAGCGCAGGAAACAGCTGCTGCAGCGGCGGCACCGGCGGCAGCAGCTGCAGCAGCTGCAGCGCAGCAGCAAGCCAGGCAGGAGCAGCAGCACCAGAAGGCAAGTGGGTCTGCAGCACAGCAACTTCCAGGGGGGGCCCCCGGCCCTGCAGCACCAGCGAGAACAACTCCGACACTTTTGCTGCATTTCCCGGGCCCAGCAGCAGCCCCCCTGCAGCAGCAGCAGCAGCAGCAGCAGCAGCAGCAGCGGAGGCGGCGCGTGTGCGCAGGAACGCGGGAAGCAGCACACTGGCCAGCTGCAGCAGCTGCTGCAGCAGCTGCTGCAGCAGCTGCTGCAGCAGCAAACGCGGCAGCAGCAACGCACCAGCAAGCTAACAGTGCAGCAGCAGCACGTCCAGCAGCAGCTCGAGAAGCAGCAAACAGTGCAGCAGCAGCATCCACACCAGCAGCAGCAGCAGCATCCACACCAGCAGCAGCAAAAGCACCCGTAACAGCAGCAGCAGCAGCATCCCTAACAGCAGCAGCAGCACCGACAACAGCAGCAGCATAACAGCAGCATAACAGCAGCATAACAGCAGCACAACAGCAGCACAACAGCAGCATAACAGCAGCACAGCAGCAGCAGCATAACAGCAGCATAACAGCAGCACAACAGCAGCACAACAGCAGCAGCAGCACAACAGCAGCACAACAGCAGCAGCAGCACAACAGCAGCATAACAGCAGCAGCAGCAGCAGCAGCAGCAGCAGGAGCTTGCCAGTGAGGTGGAGCCTGTTGGGCCCCTTGCGGAGAAGAACTTGTGGGGTTTTCATGAGGCCCAAAGGAGTCCCTCGAAAAGAAAAAGAAATAAAAGTGTCTCCGAGAGTTGCTGCTGCTGCTGCGGGACTGTGCAGCAGCACGGTGGCAGCGAGCAGCAGCCCGCGGCCGGGGGCCGCCGCAGCAGCAGCAGCAGCAGCAGCAGCAGCAGCAGCAGCAGCGCGCCCCGCGGGGGGCCCCACGCGCTGCAGCACGTCCCCCAAACCCTCAACAGCAAAACCCTCAAAGGAGACTCCTTGGAGGCCCCCGAGGCCCCCCACTTCGAGGAGACAGGAGACAGGAACATCTTTTAATAAAAGGGGCCCAAAAGGGCTTTCCAGAGTTGCTGCTGCTGCTCCCTGCAGCAGCAGCAGCAGCTGCTGCGCCTCCACAAACGCTGCAGCAAAACGCCCGAAACGCTCGGGGGGGGCCCCCACCTCCAGCGCCGTCTCCAGGGGGGCCCCCACCTCCACCCAGCTCGCGTCTTCCTCCACGCCCGGCAGGGGCCCCAGGGGCCCCAAGTACCCTCCGGGGCCCCCCGGCGAGCTGGGGGGCCCCACGGCGCTCCCGGGGGGCCCCAAGGGGGCCCCCACGGGCCCCGCGGGGGCCCCCGGGGGCCCCGGGGGGGCCCCCAGGGGCCCCAGGGGGGCCCCCGGGGGCCCCAGGGGGCCCCCCGGGGGCCCCACAGCTTTGCAGGTGAGTTCGTCGAGGTGCGCATGCATGGTGCCCAGGTGTACGTACACCTGGGAAGGCTCGAAGTCGGGCAGGGGGGCCCGGGGGCCCCCGGGGGCCCCCGCCAGGGGGCCCCCCAAGGGGGGCCCCGGGGGGCCCCCCAAGGGCCCCGGGGGGGCCCCCAAGGGCCCCGGGGGGCCCCCCGGAGTGGGTACCAGGGGGGCCTCGGCAGGCAGCAGCGCAGCAAGAGAAGCAGCAAGGGAGAGGGAGCGGAGCTGCAGCAGCACGCGGGGCCCGAGAGGGTTTAGCAGCAGGACTTTCGTAAACCCTAAAAGAGGGAGTTTGGAGTCGGAGACTAAACCCCAATTGAGCTGAAGTGTCTCCAAGGAGACACTTTTAATTGCTGCTGCCAGCTGCGCAAAGGCCGGCAGCGGCACGCGCAGACACAGCCCCTCCACCGCCTCCAGCAGCCAACGCGCAGGCTGCTGCTGCTGCTGCTGCTGCTGCTGCTGCTGCTGCTGCGGCTGCTGCTGCTGCTGCGGCTGCTCGTGCAGCAGCGCGAAGGAAGTGACTGCAGCAGCAGCAAAAGGGCCCGCGCCCTGCAGCAGCAGCTCGTGGTCCAGCCGCACTTGCTGCAGCAGCAAACGGCCGAGGGCGAAAACTGTCTCCGCAGCTAATTCGCTCCCCACAAAACTCAGAGACACTTTTGCTGCTGCAGCAAGTCTCCTCACAAACCCCACAAACTCGATCCCAGCTCCCGCCAGCAGCAGCTCGCCCTGCATGTCGAAGTCTGCGTCGGCCCAGCTGGCTGCCTGCAGCAGCGGCCCCGCTGCTGCTGCTGCTGCTGCTGCTGCTGCTGCTGCTGCGTCTGCTGCTGCTGCTGCTGCTGCTGCTAGGCGCCGCGGGGGCCCCTCCGGCCGCTTCACCATTGCGGCGCCGCCCCCCGGGGGGCCCCACGGGCTGGGGGCCCCCAACACCCAGGGGGGGGCCCCCCGCGCTGCTGCTGCTGCTGCTGCTGCGTCTGCTGCTGCTGCTGCTGCTGCTGCTGCTGCTTCCGGCTCGTCTTCGTCCAAAGATGCTGCGTCCGGGGCCACCGGCTTGGGGGGCCCCCGGGCCCTCAATGTCACAAAAAGGGTACCAATTAGGGGGCCCCCCGGGGAGTCCGCGTGCATTTGGGCCTTGTAGGTAATCTGCAAACAAGCCGCAGCAAACCCCCGAGGGTTTAGGGTTTAGGGTTTGGGGTTTAGGGTTTGGGGCTTCGCGCGCAAGCCCGCGGGCTCTTCTAGGGTTTAGGGTTTGCAGCGGGAATCCGCCGAATTAGGGTTTAGGGTTTGGGGCGCCGCGGGCGAAGCCGCGGGCTAGGGTTTAGGGTTTAGGGTTTAGGGTTTGGCGGACGCGTTCGACGGCCACTGGCGAGTTGGGCCCCAAAGGGTTTGCAATCCTCGCAGTGACTTTCGCAGCAAGAGACACTTTGTCTCTGTCAAAAGGGTTTTCTTTTATTTCCAAATCCCTAAACCTCAAACCCTCCAACATCGACGCCATCGGCGAAGTCCCCCGCGGCTTCGACGCCTTCCGGGGGCCCCTGGGGGCCCCCTGCACCTGGGGGCCCCCTGGGGGCCCCCGGGCGGGGCTGGACGGCGAGGCCCTGGACGGGGGTTTTGAGGACTGCAGCGAGAATGGCGGGTTCGAAAATGGGTACTGAACACCAAATGCCGCGGGCCTCCATTTCCACCTTTTCTCCCGAAAGAGACAAAGCCATTAAAGTCCCCAAAGCCTTCAAAAAGGGACCCTCCGCGTCCTCCCCGGGGGCCCCCAGGGGGCCCCCGGGGGCCCCGGGGGCCCCGGGGGCCCCCGGGGCCCCGGGGGCCCCGGGGGCCTCCGGGAGCGCCGCGAGGGCGCGCGGGGGCCCCCCGGGGGCCCCCCCGGGGGGCCCCCCGGGGGGCCCCCA